AATAGAATAGAATAGAATAGAATAGAATAGAATAGAATAGAATAGAACAGAATAGAATAGAATTCTTTATTGGCTAAGTGTGATTGGACACACAAGGAATTTGTCTTGGTGTAAATGCTCTCAGTATACATAAAGAAAAGATACATTCATTAAGAATCTAGAATCATTTTGAGATCGGAAATTCAAACATATTACTTAGAAGTGTAATTCTTAGAAGTTCTTAGAAGTTCTGTCATATCACAAGACCTAAAATGGACACCTAACATCAAAAACATCATCAAAAAAGCACAACAAAGAATGTTCTTTCTGTGCCAACTCAGGAAGCTCAAACTGCCCAAGGAGCTGCCGATCCAGTTCTACAGAGGAAGGATGGAGTCTGTCATCTGCACCTCTATAACTGTCTGGTTTGGCTCTGCAACCCAACAGGACAGACACAGGCTCCAGAGAGTAGAAAAAACCATGGCTACCAACCTGCCTTCCATGGAGGACCTGTATCCTGCACGAGTCAAAAAGAGGGCTGTGAAAATATCTACAGACCCCTCACATCCCGGACATTAAACTGTTTCAACTTTTACCCTCAAAACAACGCTATAGAGCCCTGCACACCAGAACAACTAGGCATAAGGACAGTTTCCTGAACGCCATCACTCTGCTAAACAAATAATTCCCTCAACACTGTCCAACTATTTGCAAAGTCTGCCCTACTATTACTATTAATCTTTTCATCACTCATCAATGGGTAATGCCCTCCCACTTGTGACTGTATGGCTGTAACTTTTTCACTTGTATCCTAACGATTTATATTGACTGTTTCCTAGTATTATTGTACCCTATGACTATCATTAAGTGTTGTACCTAATGATTCTTGACTCTTGACGAACATATCTTTTCTTCTATGTACACTGAGAGCATTTGCACAAGCGAAACAATTTAACTGGGCATCTGCAAATGTCACGGTTAGAAAATGCTCTGGGGGTGAGGGGAGCCAAGGGTATCAGCTGCCTCCTTCTATCCCCGCTTTCCTTCCACAGAGAACTATGAAGGAGGAAAAAAGATGAGAGGAAAAAACAGAGCGTGTGTATTTCCAATATGTAGTTCTCCACACGGAAGCACTGATGGGCCAAGGGGTGGGCCTGTAAAGATCCAAAAAAATCACCCTGCACTAAACTCTATCCTGCTATTTCTCAGCATTTTCCTGTCAGGCAAATAACCCCATACACCTTTGTGGTCCTAACTTTATTCCTGGGGATTTCTGACTTTCTCTCAGTGAAGTTTTTGCTCCTTCTATTGTTGTAGACGTGTTTTTCCTGGCGTCTTTGCAAAGCTCTCCCCCCACCCCCACTTCCCGATCTGAAAAAGCCCCCACAGAATTACTGCTTCCAACCCATCCTGGCCAGACCCCTAGGCTGGAGACAGCGGGAATGGGGGCTGCACCACGCAAGGGAACCTTGGAAGTCATCGGGGAAGAATTGCAAGAATTGCAAGATCAGGCTCCAGTGTCGTTCTTGGTTGGGTTTTAGTAAGGTAGGGACAGCTTTAGTCACTGCATGAAGCTGTAATATATATATGTGGAATTGCACACTCCTTCTGTGAAATTCTCTTCTTCTTTGACAAAAACCCCAAGTTCCCCAAATCCAGACTGAATGAGAAGGGGTTAGGAAGAAAAATCTGGACAACCAGCTGGCCAAAGGCAAAGCATCCCTGGGGGGCTTACTCGGAATTTCTTGGTGTTCAGAGTCTCTTCATCTCCCCACTCGTTCTGGTTGTCGTCCATCAGGGTCCCATTGGAAGCATTTTTCAAGGGTCTAGAGGACAAAGGGTTGGGGGAAAGGGAGGGAAGAAAGAGGCAAGGAATTAAATCCACGGAGGGAAATAGTCCAGCAACCAATTCCAATTGCTGTCCACAAAACAAAGTGGAGTAAAGACTAGACAAGCTAAATAAAAAGACCTCTTCCCATTATTCTAACATTTCAACCTTTTATCCATGCTGAGGGTGTGAAACCCCCCACAAAAAACTTCTTAAAATGTAATGATTTTGGAACCGTCCTACAGAAGTCAAACTAAGTTTTTTTTAAAAAAATAGCAAGGAATTAAAAATAAAACCCAGAATGCCAGATGTCCTAGAAACAGAGCGGTTTGGGTGATGTGCTTGTGTGTATATTCTACATAAAATCAATCTGTTTGTATAAACTCTGGATGCTCCCTTCGGAGTTATATGAGCTGGACAATACAGGGGTTTCATTTGTCGCCTTCAATGGTTTGACCCTTCGAGAACCTTGTAAAACCACCAGACCTTTTTCTCTCCTTTTAAAAAAAACATCTCTTTTTTAAAAAATGTGCTATCATTGGATCTTTTTTCGGGAGAATGTACTAAAAATACACCATATAAAATACACATAGGCTGTCTTTTTAAAAGAAAGTCCACAGTGCTGAGGTATTAAAAACATCAAATGATTTATGCACTTCTATATGCACTTAAAAGAGAGATAAGGTAATGTGGAGAGCCCGAGAGGCCATAAAATATAACCAATCACTTTGTCACCTGTGATCATTCTTGAATGAAAAATTGAAGTCCTCTTAGAAGCCAGTGAAAATAAAGGTGAGACTTTTGATCCCACCCATATTCTAAAATTTACTCAGGACACCCACTGAGAGAAAATAGCACAGATCAATTAATACACACACCCACCCCCCAATTCCAACAGATGCCCTCCACCACCCAGGGCCAAAGAGGCAGCCAAAGAGGTGTGTTTCCTACAATTTGTCCTGTGTGGGGCAGAAAAGCAGCCCCTTTCACAAAATCACAGGACTATTATTGGCCTCTATTTCCCCTGGACTGAAAAAGGAAGCCAAAATCCAAAACGCTTTCAAAAACAACATACTATTTTATTATTTTTATTTCTTCTATACAATGTTTTGAATGCCCTTTGCAGGCTGCCTTGAGTGGCTATGCGCGAGTAGGTGGCAATATAAATTTTCTAAATAAAGTTTTAGTCCTAGCTGAGTTTCTCTGGCTAAATGGAACTCAAAGCTGGCATGCGGTAGACATTAAAGAGCCCAATACGCTAAATGGGGGTTAATGAGCTGCCACTGCCACTTCTCATGGTTGTTTTTTTAAAAAAAAATTCCCTAAGCAAATAAATCCCATCCCTCTTCAACCAGATGTCCCGTTAAGACAAGAATTAGATGCTATTTGCGCGAACCGGACAGAGAGCGGACAACTCTCTAGGATCGGTCAATGGATCCGGAACAGATCCCAACCTCTGCAAGGAGGGGAAAAGAAGGCAGGGGGGGTGGGTGGGATTACTCACTTCAGCCCCACGGAATCCTCTCCCAGCGGTTCCCGGCGCTTCTTCTTGCTGGATTCGTTCACTTTGAAGCCTTCCGGGAACCAGAGATGCCCATGTTCCCTGCGCCGCTTGCGGGTTGCCAAAACGCCAATGCCAATGCAGGAGAGGAGAAAGAGAGACGGTCCCACCACATACATAGGATACCACTGGCTGCTCCTGGGGGGGTCGGCGGTTTCACCTAGGACACAAAAGCCAAGAGGAGGACCAAGGTGAGACCGAGGGAAGGTGCACCCCAGCCAGGAGACGGGAAAACTGAGGTCCAAGCAGCCCCACCACTCGTCCCCCCACCCCTCCCTATCCAGATCCCCGGGAGGGGGAGGGGGAGGAGGAGGAGGAGGAGGAGGAGGAGGAGAATTTCGATGTGGTTCATCAGCAGTGCAAACCCTCTGTTGCTGCACTGGGGGGGGAAAGCTTATTTTCCTTTAGGAGAAAAAAGGATTAGCCCATTTCAAATCATTGGATTCCACATTGAGCGGTTAAATCCAAAGGATTGAGGAGGATTTGGGAGGCGCACACTTCAGCTCTTCACATGTCACGGATCGATTAGAAGGTCTGGGGCAGCTTCCCTCCTCCTCCTTTCCTAGCAATAATTATTTTGAAATAAATTCCGGAGGGGAGACAAAAGTTGAGAAGTTTTCTTCTTTCCCCGCTTCCAGCGAGTAGTAAGGGAACGGGATTTTCTTTTTAAAGGGTATTCCATTCATTGCATACGGGACTCTTCGCTGCCATGTTTTAGCACCTGTATTTTACAGGAATTGGCTTGTATGTTGTACATTAGGCACATGCGGGGCACATGTGTGTATTTGGGGCCCGTGCTGGGTCTTTTAACTCAAGAAGCGTATTGAGGTGGAATTAGACACGAACTATAAAATCCATTATTAACTTTAATCCGCTATTTCTCAACCTGGCTAATTTTAAGCATGGTGGGTTTCAACCCCCAGAATTTCCCAGCCAGCATGGGCAGCTAGGGAATTCTGGGTGTTGAAGTCCGCATGTCAATGCCAACGCTGAGGAACATGGCTTGCTCACATTCTGTTAAGATTAGAAACCAGACAAGTTTTGTTATTGGGAAACTGAACCCCTAACTACACGGCTTCGATGCCAGGTGGATATTTTAACAGACAACAATATAAAGATAAGGCCACACCTGGAGTACTGCAATCAATCTTGATCGCCATACTACAAAAAAAGATGTTAAGACTTTGGAAAAAGTGCAGAGAACAGCAACTAAGATGGATCAATGTATGGGATACAATGAAGGCATATGCTAGAGGCTTGATAATAGACTATACAAGGAAAAGGAATGCTAGGAAAAGGTTAGCCTCTAAGGCTCTAGAGGATGAGCATAAAAGACTTGAAAAAGAGCTACAGAAAATGCCACAGAAAAAGGACATCAAGCTAAAAATGGATATAATTAAACACAAAATGGGTCAAATAGAGAAAGAAGAATTAGCACAGAAAATTAGAGGTGCTAAACAGAACTACTTTGAAGATGCAAACAAACCAGGTAGATGGTTAGCATATAAACTGAGAAAGGAGAAAGAATCAAGGAAAATATTGCAGTTAATAGATGATCAAGGCCAAGTTTGCCATGGCAGTAAAGAGAAGAAGGAAATCATTCGAGACTTTTATGGGAAATTATATAAGCAAGAGAATATTGATGAGGAAAGAGTTAAGCAGTATTTACAGAATGCTAATTTACCCAAGATACCTAAAGAGACTGAAAAAATGTTAGATAGCAATATAACTATGATGGAGTTAACTGAAGCACTTAAGAAGCAAAATAATGAAAAGGCACCAGGCCCAGATGGACTTCCGGCAGAATTTTATAAAACATTACAAGAACCGTTGAATCTCCCATTGCTAGAAGTTATGAATGAAGTTATGTTAAAGAAGAAGATACCCAAACCATGGTCAGAAGCCTATATCACACTTATTCCAAAAGAGGAGGCTGATCCATTGCAAATTAAGAACTATAGACCTATTTCCCTACTAAATGCAGATTATAAAATCTTTTCTTCAGTATTGGCAGAAAGACTTAAAAAATATTTAAATAACTTTATTCATTCTGACCAAAATGGATTTCTGCCAAAGAGACAAATTAAAGATAATATGAGAGTAATTTTGGATACCTTGGAATACTATGAGGCACATCCTGAAAAACAAATGGCTTTGATATTTCTAGATGCACAGAAGGCATTTGATAATGTGAATTGGCGATTTATGTTATTATTGTTGGAACAGATGGGTTTTGCTAGAAAATTTATTCAAGCAATAGAAGCTATATACTACAAGCAAACGGCAAAGGTAATGATAGAGGGAGAACTGACAGACTCTATTAACATAAGAAAAGGAACAAGACAAGGGTGCCCACTATCACCTTTGCTATTCGTGTTAACTTTGGAAGTGTTAAACAGAAATATTAGAGATGAAAAGAGTATAAAAGGAATAAAAATTAAAAAGGAAGAATTTAAGCTGCAAGCCTTTGCGGATGATTTGGTTTTTATCTTGGAAGACCCTTTAGAAACAGCACCAAAATTATTGGAAAAGATAGAGGCATATGGCAAGGTGGCTGGTTTGAAAATAAACAAAGATAAGACAAAGATTTTGACAAAGAATATGTTATCAAGACAAAGGAAGAATTGGCAGATTTATTGAAAATTCAAGTCACGAATAAGATCAAGTATTTGGGGATACATTTGACAGCAAGATGTAGTACATTAAAAGAGAATAATTATATCAAACTTAAACAGCAGATAGCGCTAGATTTGGCGAAATGGGAAAATTTACAACTGTCATTAATAGGGAGAATTTCAACAATCAAGATGAATATATTACCCAGAATCTTATATTTGTTCCAAACAATTCCAATTAGGCTAGGAAAAGACTATTTTGAAGATTTAAATAAAATTGTGTTGAAATATATATGGCAAGGTAAGAAAGCGAGAATAAAGTTAAAGCTTTTGCAAGATGCTAGAATTAGAGGAGGATTTGGTTTGCCTAATTGGGAGTTGTATTACCAAGCTACAAACCTGATGTGGGTCAAGGAATGGATAACATTAAGAGGACATGACCTGTTGTTGGGGTGGCATGCTTTTTTATGGTACAAGGGAACTAAAACACAGGGGTATTTTAAAAGACATTATATACGGGAGTCTCTGTAGTTAAATTGGGAGAAGATTAAAAGACAATGTTATTTGAAAATTCCAGTCTGGTTATCAACTATTGAAGCATTTTCTTATCCTATAATATATAAAAAGGAACAAACAGTTAGATATGGGGAAATATTGAATGAAAAGGGTGAACTTAAATCTATGCAAAAACTAGAGGAACAAGGTATAAAGATGAATTGGTTTTCATATGCGCAAATACATTCAAGGTATGATAAAGATTTTAAAACAGAAGGTTTCTATGATAAATTGACTGACTTAGATAAGATTTTGACAGGTACTGATGAAAAGGTGATTAAAAAACTGTATGGATATTTATTAGAAATCAAACTAGAAGAACAAGTTAAAGAAACTATGATTGCTTGGGGGAAGAACTTTGGATATGGGATTGATTTAGAGAAATGGCAAAAATTGTGGTCTCAAAATTATAAAATGACAATGTCAACAGCTTATAAAGAAAATTTGTATAAGATGTTCTACAGGTGGCATTTCCCCCTGACAAGAATAGCAAGAATGTTCAAGAATAAATCCGAAAAATGTTGGAAATGTCATCAGACACCTGGCTCATATTACCATATGTGGTGGACTTGTGCGGGCGTTAAAAAATACTGGACTAAAATCCACATGTGGTTGGAAAAAATGACAAAAAAACATATAGATTTGAAACCAGAGATATTTATATTGGGAATTTTACCTGAAACATATAGCAAAGATTTGAAATACTTGATTGTAAATGTATTAACAGCGGCTAGGATTGTATTTGCTAAAAACTGGAAAAATGAGAAAATACCATCGCAGGAGGAAATCATTAAGAAAATATTGGAATGTGCTGAAATGAATAGATTGACATTTGAAATTAGAGAACAAGAGGATAAACAATTTTATAAAATTTGGGACCTTTTCTATCAATGGTTAGATAATAAAATACAGTAATGAAATATGTAGATTTTTAGAAAATAATAAATATATAAAGATGTACTTCTTTTTTTATTATATCTACAAAATGTTTTTAGGATAGATTTGGGAGGATAATATGAATGGTTATAAAATAAACTAAGTAAATTATGGTTATCTCGTAAAATATGAATGAATAAAACTATAGTCAAATGATTGATTAATAATGATACTAGGGTATTTAATTTTTGATTGATAATATGAGCTTTTATGTAATGTAACTGTAATTGAAGACTACGAAATGGATGCACAAAATAATTTGTAAACCAACCGGCACACTGTTTGTATACCTATGGAAGAAAGTTTGATGTTTTTATGTTTTGTTTGTTTATGTTTGTTTTTAAAAACCAATAAAATTTACAAAAAAAAAGAAAGATGTTAAGACTTTGGAAAAAGTGCAGAGAACAGCAACTAAGATGGATCAAAGGCCTGGAGACCAAAACATATGAAGAACAGCTGCAGGATTTGGGTCTGGCTAGTTTAAAGAAAAGAAGAATTAGGGGGGACAGGAGAGCAGTATTTGAGGGGCCGCCACAAAGAAGAGGGGAGCAAATTATTTTCCAAAGCAGGAGAAGGCAAGACAAAAAGCAATGGTTGGGAATTAACATTAATTAATTAACAACAGATGGAAACTAGTCAAGGAAAAAAGCAACCTGGAATTAAGGAGAAACTTCCTAATAGTGAGGACAATTAACCAGCTTGCCTTCTGATGTTATGGGTGCGTTATCACTGGAGGTTTTTAAGAAGAGAGACAGCCACTTGTCTGAGATGCTATTGGTTCTCCTGCTTGAGCAGGGCTGGACTAGAAGACCTCCAAGGTCCCTTCCGGCTCTATTCTATTCTATTCTATTCTATTCTATTCTATTCTATTCTACTCTACTCTACTCTACTCTACTCTACTCTACTCTACTCTACTCTACTCTACTCTACTCTAATAGCCTCTGTGTTCATGCTCCATCTCTTTAAACATTTATATTCTCTCCTTTCTGAGATTTTCATTAGTTTCCTCACAGCCATGTGAAGGGGAAGAGGGAATGGAGATGGCAGAGAGACAGAGACAGAGGCAAAGCCTGGGCCATCCGTCAGCCCTCCGATGGAGAGTCAACAGCCCCCAGGTCTGGAGGTGGCTGATGAGGAAGAGGAGGAACAGCTGGGTCCAGTGCCTGAAGTGCAGATGCGCAGAAGGCAGAGGAGAGGAGAGCAGTGGAAATCTATGGGCTGGTCCTTGGGACAGAAGAGCCCCCGCTGCTAGCGAAGCCCCAGCCCAGCTCTAGGGATAAAAGGCAGGGGATGAAGATGATGTGGATTGATTAGCCTGAGAGAGAAACTTTTTGCTAGGGCCGCCGGCATTCCTAATTAAAGGAATCTTTTGCGTCCACGTCGTGTTTGGGGAGCTGGGTCAGGACAGCTTACTTTTCACGGCTTCGATCTTGTAGAGAAACTTCAAGCTGTCGCTGGAGGCCAAGGCGCCCAGGAATGCCGCTACGTCGTTGGCACTTTGGAAGCACTGAGAGGAGGCCTGGATGCATTGCCGGTTGTCGATTTCCAGGTGAACGATAGACCTGCAGGTTTGGGGAAGGGAGAACATACAGAGATAAACAAGACTGTTCCAGTTGGAAGGAGGAGCGGTGGTGCGGTGGCCTCAAGGATGGAACTCTCCAGCGTGGTTCATATTTACGGCGGTCGCATTGTCCCGGGTTCCAGCAAACCTCCATTCCCATCAGTAACTCCGAGACAAACGCATCTCAAAAGTACCTTTATTAGAATAGCCCCTGGCACAACTGTGGAAACCGGAAACTAAAAGTTTTCGGGCTTCCCACAATTTCCCAAACTACAAATCCATCCCCACCTTGGCCGTCATGACATCACAGGGCCCACTCACGATCCATCCAAAAGTAAGGTCCTAATTTCATCCTCTGACCTTGAACTAACAAAAAGAATTTTGTTTTGTCTACTTAGAGCTACTGAATTGAAATCATCCCCCTCCTCCCACTTTCTCAGGCTATGGGGCAGCGTGGAACAGGGCTTCCAAAGCTGACACTTCGGACAAGCCAAGTCAGTGGTCAAGCCAGGTTCATTTAACAACCAAGTTACAACCAACTTAACAATTGCTGCGATTTCTCTTAACAACCGTGGCAAGATGAGGTCATAAAATGGGGCAAAACTCACTTAACATCTGTCTTGCTTAGCGATGGAAATTTGGGGCTTAATCTGGCTGTAACTTGAGGATCCACCCCATTCCAAGGGTGTCCATCCCAAATTGTACAGCTAAATGTCTGTAGAGATTCATGTAGCCATAGAGATAAACCTTCAAGTGCTTCAATGACCCTCTAAAAGAATGCAAATGACCAGCTGTCTGCAAGGAGTATAAATCCTTCCCTTCTCCACCGTCCAGTCAGAGCTGAAGAAGCTTCTTGGATGAGAAGCGAAACATCTTCAAAGAGAAAACAAGGAAGTCCACTTGCCTCCAGAAAAAAGCACCTTTGGCACAACCGTGACCTGGAGGATGGAGAATCTCTACAGACACAAAATGAACTGTTGTCAAATCGAGGACTTTCTATTTAGGGCAGGGGTGTCCAACCTTGGCAACTTTAAGACTGTTGGACACCCCTGATTTAGGGTCTCCTCCTTGCCCTAGACCAGGCAGGGGTCTCCAACCTTGGCCACTTTAAGCCTGGAGGACTTCAACTCCCAGACAGCTGGCTGGGGCATTCTGGGAGTTGAAATCCGCCAGGCTTAAAGTGGCCAAGGTTGGAGACCCCTGCTCTCAACTACACACACACACACACACACACACACACACACACACACGCCATAGTGGCCTGCTTACCCGTAGATTTCCACCTGGTCCATCTCTCTCTTTGGCCTCCGGCTGAGTGTCGAGTGGAGAGCTTCCGTCACGCTGACCACCACTTCAGACACGTCCGGCCAGCCGTCCGCTGACCTCTTGATGCGGTGCTTCTTCAGCTCTTCCGGATTCCCGAAATAAGGGAAGATCATGGACTCCCCCTTGGCGTCCTTCTTGAAAACCACGTTGGTGTGCAGGACCCGGCTGAGCTCCCGCAGGAAGTTGAGAGAGTTGTTCCTCAGGACGTCGGGGGGGATGAGGACCACAATCACCAGGGTGCCGTCGGCGAGCCTCTCGGGCACGTGGTTGGCACAGTCCAGGCCGTCCCATTCGCACTCGGCGCTGTTGCAGCCCTTGTCACAGTTGCCGTCGGAGAAATGGTCCTTGCAGTACTGATCGTAGAGAGGACTGCCAAGAGGGAGGGAAGAAATGAGTGAATGGAGCCTCCACTTTCAGGAGCAGTGTAACTCTGAATGCCCTACGGCGGAGACGCAGCAGAGGATACGTTGCCTGCCACGGGTAGCCGGATCAGATCACCTGGCACAAAAGACCACTGCAATTTGGGTTTCAGAGACACTGATGCAAAATTGGACTTTATTATAAATCACAAGAATTAACATTAATAGAGTTGGACAGGATCTTGAAGGTCATCTAGTCCAACCCCCTGCCCAAGCAGGAAACCCTACACCATTTCTGACAGATGGCAGTCTAGCTTCTTCTTGGAAGCCTCCAGTAGTGATGAAGCTCCCACAACTTCCGAAGGCAACGTCTGTTCCATGGGTTGATGGTTCTCACTGTCAGAAAATTCCTCCTTATTCCCAGGTTGGTCAGCTTCCATCCCTTCTTCCTTGCCTGGCCTTCGGGTGCTTTGGAGAATAGCTCGACCCCCTCCTCCTCCCTCCAATATTGGAAGACTGCTATCCTGTCTCCCTGTCTGGATTGACAGCTAGATTGGGAAGGATGAGCAATCGCCATAAAGGACAGTTGCTGAGGGTCTCTTCAGCCCAGCAAATTTAGCCCAGGGCTTCATTCCCTTCCCAAAGGAAGAATTGGGCCCAAGTGCATCATGGACGCGGGAGCCCCCCTCATCGGAGACTTGCCAGGCCAGTTGGGCCCCACCCTGGCTGAATGTGTAGGGCAGCCCAACTCTTCTCCCCTTGGCTCAGTCCAGCGCTTGATGATGTGACAGACCAGAGGTGGGATTCAGCCGGTTCTAGAGAACCAGAAGTGGAAGTTTTGAGTCGTTCGGAGAACCGGCCAATCCCACCTCTGAGTGGCCCCGCCAACTCCGTCTCTTCTCTGCCTCCCATCGAGTCTCTGCTGATCGGTTAGGTCTCCTTTGGTTGCCCTGCACAGGAGAACGGAGCTGGAAAGCAGGTTAGTGGGGTGGGGAGGGAGTGGAAATTTTACAGTATCCTTCCCCTGCCACACCCACCAACTGGTAGTAAAAAAAAAATTTGAATCCCACCACTGGGACACACCTAGGCCAACTGCTGTTGCTCCCAGGTAGGTCACCCTGTCGCATCATTGGGGGCCAAAAAGAGGTGTTTTTTTTTTCAAAATTCACACCGAACACAGGGGAGTGTGAAGGGGCAGACAGCTCAAGCAAAACGCTTGAAACATTTGAGTGAAGAGACACAAAAAGACTTTAAAAATTGCAGTGGGTCACACCAAGCCAACCCATGGAACAGAAGTTGCAGGATCTTCATCGCTGGAAGCTTTCA